GAGATCTAAAAATAAATCCCTGAGAATGTCAGGCATGTATAGGATGAAAATGATGTATTGATCCTTTGTTGCTCTCTCCAGCTCTCCCTGGTACTACCCACCACACCTGTCTCTCGACTTCATGCTCCCCCTTTCCTTTTAAAAACCCACTAAGTCCATTTAGTGCTGCCCATATGTGTGGACCATGGCCTGGAGCATGGGCCGCCTCCCAGTGTCCACACCCCCAAAGAAGAACAAGATTTCCTTCCTGAAACTGCCAATAGCTCCTCAGTTAGGAGTGGGAGCTGGCGAGCTCCCTCCCCCACTCCCCGCTGTCTTGACCTTGTGCAGGTAACCACAGCTGCTGGGACTTTATGAGCTCAACAGCCACACCATATCCAGAAGACAGCACCTCACAGCTCCTGTCCCCGTTCTTGTGCTCTTACATGCCTCCAACTTCATCTTCAGCCAATGTTCCCTGACTGAGGGGCTTAATAAAGATGTCCCATGATGGGGACCGGGGAAGAGGGGGTGAGCACTCCCAGTCACTTGTTCTTGGCACACTGCCTAGTTATGGTCTCTGTTTGAGATCTTTCGTAAGCAAGAGTGGCACAATTTTAGAATCTTCGGGGGTTAGAAGCAAGCACATTGCTGCTTACCCTGCTCTTCTGCATGGCTTTGGAGTGAATATTTTATGGTAAGAACTTAGGAGTATAAAAGGGGACCAAGCAGGGAATACCTAGCAAAGGGACATTCTGGAAAAACTGAGGGGTAAATTAGAGTGACTACTGTTTCTGCAAGCAAACTCAGCTGGCACCAGTGGGAATGGGACAAAGATTGAATAAACAGAGATGGAGTCTCCTTTCCTCCCCTTTGGATCTTAGGCTGGTGACTTCTCCGTTAGTGCGTTCCTTCTGTTGTTCTTTATTTTCTGGCCACTTTTCTTTGATAAATCCCTTCAAATTCCCAGTTTCCACAGTCACTACTAGTGCTCCAAACCTGTGAAAGCAAGCCCTGTCCCTTCACGCCTGGTCACCACCCCTTAGTTACTGAAGAGCTTCTGGGATCTCTATCCTCTCTCTCATGGATGACTCTGCTAGACAACTTCAGCTGTGAACCGGATACAGCCCAGAGTCATCAGTGGGAGACTCACCTGGGGATTCCCCAGATCAGATTGGCTTGTGGGCCCTCTCAACGAGAGATTGTCTTGACTGGTGATTGATGTGGTTGGGCCAAGCCCACTGTGGGCAGAAACATTCCTAGGCCTCAGATGTATAAAAAAACTAAGAAGAATCTGGTGAGTGAGCCAACAAACAGCGTTCCTCCACTGTTTCTGCTTGAGTTCCTGCCCTTGCTTCCCTCAGTGTTAAACTGTGACCTGGAAGTATAAGTCAAACAACTTTTGTTCACCTAAATTGCTTTTGGTCAGAATATTTTATGACAGCAACAGAAAGGAAACTGGGATAATGACCTTGCTTCCCTGTTTGTGTTTCCTCTGAAGTTCACTTCTTGCCCAAGCATTTGCAGAAGCTTCCAAACTGTTCTTTCATCTTCAGCATCACCCCTTCTTAGCTTTCTTAACAGTTGGGGTTAGCCTTCCATCAATCATGTCCTTCTATCAGACAACACAGTGTCTAGAAAGGCCAGTGATGTGAGTGGTACATGAAGAGTTAGTGAGAACGTACTGGAATATACTGGTAGAAGGCACTGTGTGAGTCCCCAGGGAAGGGGCCATACTGTGGACAGGGAGAAGGATTTCCTGTATAGCAGCTAGGGTGTGGTGAGGTTATCTGGCCTTATCTCATAGGCCATTTGGGAATCATCAGTAGCGGCTTAGCTAGGTGGGTATCTCACTAGCTTGTTAAGCAGCACAGCTTAGAGTGAAAGCTATCTTTCCTAAGACTGGTGCTCTCTGTAGGGCACTGTGGGTCCCTAGGATCAGGCTCCGAATATTTGTTTAAGACACCACATGTCACTGGGACCAGGTTCCAAATAGTCCTGTCCTGGTTGCTAAAACGTAAGAATTTTGCTTTTATTTTTGGTCTTTTTGTCTTCATATGTTCTCTGCCCAGAGTCCTGTGCTGACTATATATCTAGCTCAGAGGAAAGGCCAGGCTCACTTTGACTTTGAAGCACTATGGCCCCTGCCATCTAATCCATCCCTGCACTCTTTACTACATAGGGTGCCAAAGTCCTCTTGGAACTCATTGCCTCTTCTGTTGAGGACATTTTTACTCTTGATGTCTACCTGGCATTTTTTTTTTCTTATCTCCTTTGGGTGTCTACTCATCAACTCCTTCATGAGGCTCCCTGAGCACTTTACTTAAACTCTCTTCTCTATTCCAACAGGACTTTTTCAAAGCTCTTCTGCTCTGTGTATCTTCCCTGGCATACACCAATGTTCATAAATATTATTTACATTTATTTCTTCTTTAGCTCCTTGGCCATCTCCTTCCACTGGAATGTATGCTCTGTGAGGGCAAGTATTTCTGTCTCCTCTATTTATTTCTATAACACATGTACCTCTGCAGAAAAGATGTCAACAAATACATGTGGAATGGCTGGAAACTTCTTGTGCTGGCACAAAGTTATTCACAGTTCTCCTAACTGGTTCTTGTCTCCATGGAGGCAATATCTAGTTTACTGCTTCTCAGTGTTTCTCTGTCTGCTATAATCTTTTGGTATTGGACACTGGCTAATTCTGGAAGGAGTGGGAATTTGTTGCTTATGGTTTTGAAGGCTGGGATAGTCAAGATAAGGGGCCAAAAGGTTTTGTGTCTGACAAGGGCTGTTTTCTGTGTCAAGAAGGTAGGCACTGAATTCTAAGTAAGCCCTTGCACACTCACAGAAGATAGCAAACGCATTCCACCAAGGCCTTTTGTAAGGTTGCTAATCCCTTCTGAGACATTTGTAATCTGTACGATCCTGCTGTTAGTAGGAGACATAAATCTCAGCTGAAAACTCTTATGTGCAAGAAATTGACTTTTTTGTTCCTAGAATCTAATATCTAGTTTAGTCTTAATTTACCCAGAGGACAGATTTTTCAGCAGTGTTGGAGCTTCCTGTCTTCCCTTGTTTTAGAGGAGTTAGGGAGTCTGGAGAGGTAATGAAGCATCTCTGGCGTCACCAGCTCATCCCAACACCCATGGTGCCGTCCGCAGTGATGGGTTTGAGCATCAGAGAGGCGAGGTGCTGCAAAGTGTCCTGGGACCCCTCTGTGTGACTTCTTTAGGTCTGCAGGAGCTCTGTGACTCCTCTGCCTCTCTTGGTGAGAATATGCCGTTGGTTGTTCCAGCTGTGGCAGCAGTCCCTATGGGGTTTTTTGAGACTCCATTTACACTGGCACTGTTCGGGGTTCTGACTCTCTTCCTGGGACTCTGCTTAGCTCTGGGTTCCCACAATTCTGTCTGGGAATTCTTCTGTCTCTTTGCGGCTCTAATTTTTTTTTTTTTTGGGGGGGTAAAGGGCATGGATCCCTTCTCTATGACTCACAGACATCACTGTAAATGGCTTCATTTATTTTCTTCATTTATTTTCTTCCATAGGCTGGGGACTCTTTTCTAATACAGGCAGGGGGGCCAACCTTGTTCTCACTTCCGGTTCATGCCATGAATGGTTTCCTTTTTCCTATGGGCCTGGGTTTTTGAAATTTATCACTATAAAGAAAGAACCCTCCTTACTACATTTGACAGTCACTTTGTTCTTAGGAGTGGAGAATAATAGCTTATCTTTTTCTGGTTTCGACAGGGTCTTACTATGTAGCCCTGGCTGGTCTAGAACTTGCTATATAGAGACCAATCTTGCATTAAACTCAGAGTCTCTGCCTCCCACGCCCCTTCATGGCTGTTTTTAACCTGGTTATTTTACTGGGAAGAAAGATCGGGGAGCTTGGAAGAGTGACTTGGGTGGAACAAACAGTGAGGTTCTTAACAACACGCTTGCACTGCTTGATGAATTTCATGATGGTAATGATGGCAGCAATAATGGTATCATTAACATCTGTTGAGCACTCTGTATGCTGCGTCCGATCCACAGTGCCCTCTTTTCCTGACATCCCATCCATCATCCCAATAACTGTGCATTTTGAATTAGTCTCAATAATCCATCGAAGCAGCTGAAAGTTAGAAGGGTAAAGAGACTAACAGCTCCCTCCATAAGCAAAACAAACGGGGCTGGACTTCATACACTAGCCTGCTCCCAATGTCTACGCTTAACCAGCACACCTCCCAGCCTTGTGGCAGCAGCGCTAGAGCCTCTGCTCCTCAGGCTATGGGCACAGGGATGCCTTCTACTTCTCCATGATACTTTAACAGCTTCCCCTTCCTTCTCCACCCTGGCACAGGTGAGATGCCCCATGGTGTACCCACCGTGGGCCTCAGAGCCTGGTCACTCTCTCTGCTTCTGTTGTGTCCTCTCATTTCCCTGTGTACTTCCAAACGTTCTTTGGTTCTTTGTCTGCCGCTCTTGGTTTAGCTTTAAAAATAATGTGCACATTTAGCAAAAGGCTCAGACTGCAAAAGAGTAGAAGGAGCAAAAGCAAGCAGCAAGCAAAGTACAAACCCTACCCACTGGGTACATGGGCTTTGCAAAAGGGGAAGAGGCCTTGGATATTTGCTATCGTTTGTGCTCTTAAGGGTCTCCAGGCTGTCCTTCCTGGTCACTATAATTATGCTGAGGCTAGACCTCCCAGGTTCTTCACCAAGAAGGCAGAGCATTTTTTTATTAAGTAGAATACCCATGGTTTCATGAACCTCCCAATTATGAAATGTCCATTGCTAGAGGACTGTTGTTTCTTTGAATTAGCAAGCTGAAGGTACCACGTAAATGCAGTTCTAAAATTCAAGTCTCAGATATTCCCACCACAGCCTGGGTGGCCTGAGCCAGCCTGAGCCAACCAGCTTAGCCTGGCAGGCTTCTCAAGGATGGTTGCTTTGATGGGCAGTGGGAGGGAGAGGAGGGAAATTGGAAGGTGGTGCAGGGCTTTGGTGGAGGAGATGTGAGGATGTTTGGCTTCTGTGCAGGTGAAGACTCCATCAGCACATTGGGCATGATCCTTGGAGTGGGACTCTCACTGCTGCTCGTGTCCATCTTTGGCTACAGCTTGGCCAAGTGGTACCAGCGCGGGTACTGCTGGGACGGTGAGTGAGTCCTATGCCAATCAGCCCCAGATCTGCCTGCCCTTCCTGATCTGTAGATCTGGGAAAGGCTGGGTAGGGAGGCAACACTTTCTTCACAGCAGCATGCAAAAATATTTCCTCTGGCGGTTGCAGTGGTTGAAGATTTGAGTAGGTGGCTGAGCAGCTGAACTGAGGCTTGGATGGAGAGATTAGGGTCTTTATCGAGGGAACGGAGGCTCCTCCCATTCTAAGAACTATTTTTTTAAACACTGCCCTTCTGGAAGGTCCTGGTGCCAGCTAGTTCCTTGTGTGTTAGTCTCTGTCTCTCCTCACCTCCCACCCTGCCACTGGACTCCCAAACTTGCAGATGTGTCTTCTGGAATTTGATGTGGTCTATTCAAAGGGTGAAGCAAGGACAGCACGTTGGGATGCATGACCGAAAAATCCTTCCAGGCTTGCATTCACAATTATCTATTCACCTACCATGTACCAATGTACTTTTCATTGGTATGCATTTTGAAAATTTTATGCAATAAAGAAGTTATGTCCAACTACAGCCTCCATTTTTTTTTTTTGAGATAGTTACTAGCCCAGGCTGGCCTTGAATTTCCTATGCAGCTAAGGATAATCTTGAGCTTCTGATACTCTTGCTTCCACCTCCAAGTGCTGGGATCACAGCTGCACACGCCCACACCTAGTTTATGCTGTGTTGGGGATGGAACCCAGGGCTTTGCACATGCTAGATATGCACTCTACCAACTGAGCAACATTTTGCATTATTATTATCCCTCAGCTTGCATTATTAAAGCAGACAGGGGTATGTAGTGAGATCACGGGGTTGGAACATGGTGGAGTCTGTAGTGAGCCTAAGACTTATTCTTTGGGGGCTCTTGGCTAGAACTGCTCTAACTGGAAGGACATGGAAGGATCTTGGGAACCCTGCAGAGCACCCAGAGGCCAGCCTGTTTATACCATGGGCAGGTCAGGGAAGGGCCAGATGTTCCCAGAGACAAGATAGCCACACACACACACACACACCCCGGAGATCCTAACTCTCTTTTTGGGTTGTCTTTCCAGGGCCTAATTTTGTCTTCAACTTATACCAAATTCGGTGAGTAGGTCCAGGGCACACTGGGTGGGCTGGCACTGGGGGCAAAATGTAATAAACAAAGAACTAGAGACAGAAATGGAACTTACTGCCTACCTTCCCTGGCTCTCTCCAAGCCTCCTAAGCCAACAAGAAATACCCCATTTAGAAAAGTTCTCAGAGTAAAAACATGCCTATACAGAGTGCCACATGAGGCCCTGATGATAGCGATCAGCTCAGCCCTCACACTCAGGAAAGAACACGCCACCCATGCGCTCATCTGTCTACCCACTCACTCACTCCTTTTCAAACTTGCCTACTCATTCATTCATCCACCCACCCATACACCCACCCATTCATCTGTCCACCCATTAGCCCACCCACCCACCTACTTATTCATTCATCTACACCCCACTACTAACCAATTTGTCCATGTGTCAATAACCTATTCTACTCCTCTACCTCCCGCATTCATCTATGAATCCATCCGTTCATGGAGACACGTATGCATCCATGCCTTCATCCGTGCATGCATGTATCTATCCATCTATTCACCCACACATTCATCTATCCATCCATCCGCTCAGTTACTCACCATCCACCTGTATATCATTTTTTTCTGTGTAGTTTTATTATAGTCAGTTTTGTGGTATTTGTTTCCAAGAATACGAAGATGGGTTGGCCTATTCTCTAACCCTCAGAATCCCACTGTCTCTGCTAGAGACAAGCCTGATGGCAAATAAAGCAATCTCAGGCACAATATAGGATTCAGAAAAGAAGAAAGATGGATTTGAGGATCAGGACTCAGATCTCTCAGGGTAAGTCATTTCTCTATTCCCCGCCACAGGACAGGCCTGCTTCTCCTGTGGCCCTAGGAAATGAGATGAATCTTACTCTGGAAGATAAGTCAGTGGCCTAGAGATTGCCTGTACTTCTAGGAACCACTTTGTAGGTTCTAGTCTAGGGAGACAGGCTCCAGAAAGATGCTGGCTTCCCAGTTTCAACATCTCCATTGGAAATCTGTCCCAGGAACCCAAAGGACTTGGAGGTAGGACCACCCTTCACCATTAGTGGCCACATGAGCAGTTCAGATGGCGGCTACATGAAGTTCTCCAATGAAAGAGTCTGATGGAGATGCACCTAGCTTCTGGAGATCAGGACAGGTGAGTAGAAGAGCAGGAGGCCTCCTGAGTGGCTCTGATGTCTGAGTAAGGTCCTAAGAGGGTTCAGGCTGTCAAGCCAAGAGCCAACACAAATAAATAACCCATCCCTCTACTTTGTCTTGGGAGAGTCAGACCAGCTGGACCTGACATGGCAAAGCCCTTTCCAAGCCTCCTCTCTTTTTAGTGTCTCTTCTCTTTCCACCAGAAAAGACTCCTGGGTCATCACGAGTTCCTCCAGCCCCCCCTGTCCCCCCCCAACACACACCTTGGCCCTGAAAGCCTGGCCTGGCTCTGAATATGGAGGCTGAAGAGCCTTCTCTGGCTCCTCTCCCAGGGTCTGTGAATGGGTCTGACTAGGCTTAGCAATTTTCTCTTGGGGCACAGAAAAGCAACTGTTCTCCAGGGTTAAAAGCTGGATTCCAGGACTCCTCCAGCCTGTAGTTGTTGAGGAGCTGTGAATGTCCTGCAGACATTATGAAGAATCACAGCCAGGTTGTCCATCCTCCTGTCTAATGTAGCCCAGGGAGGAAAGGGCCCCAGACTCCACAGGGTAGTTTCTTTTGTTTTTATTTATTTATTTATTTATTTATTTATTTATTTATTTATTTATTTATTTATTTATTTATTTTTCATGTGGAATCTCCTATCGTTTCATTTTGTAAAGCTGATACTACAGGCTGGAGAGCCAGTCATTTTCATTCGGGAGTTATGTCGTTAGATGGGGTGACTTCAAAAACGGTTTTTATCCTTTTCATCAGTGGCCAACTTTCCTGAAGGCTGAGCTTGGGTCTTACTCTGTCCTTTCCACTTCTGTGTTTCATTTGGGCATTTTCCACCCTTTCTCACTATTGCTATCTCCCTCTGACTAAGCTCTGCCTATAGTGAACAGGCCTCTGTGACCAGCGCATGTGAGCAGGACAATCTAGAAATCACATCCCTGTTGTTTAGGTTCCTGAACTGGGGTGGGCATGGGGCACAGGGTGAGTTCTATGCCCCATCTCTGCTGTTCTGCACAAAGCCTGCACCATGTAGCAGATAACAACCAGAGATGTAAAGCAGGCAGAAGCACCTGGCTAAGTCTGAGCAGAGCAGCTAAGGACAAGGTCTGGGGGGGCCTCTTACCTCCCCTGTCACCCCTTCCTTCTCCACCTGTGACCTTTGGGACTGGAGGCAGAGCTGGTACTAGGAGATTTAGCTCAGTGGGCATTTGGGATAAAGTGGTTCCATCCATCTGGAGAGGCTGCACCCCTGGACAGCTGTGGATGGAGGACAGCATAAGCACCCTGTGCTGTTCGAGCCTGCCAGTGGATCTACGAGCCCCAGTCCATGGCTGAAGGATACCAAGGCCAGAACAGAGGTAGAAGAGGGTGGGGAGCTGGCCATGATTTGCTGTCTTATCCTCATTTTTTTCCCCCTGAGGCTCCTGTGTTTTTTGTTTTGTTTTGTCTTGTTTTCTTCTCTCTCTCTCCGTAGTCTATAGCAGACTGTGGAGGAAGGAATGAGCCAGGCCTAGCAATTTCTTCCTCTTTCCTGCCAGGGGTGGGAGCCCTTTTGTTCCCAGCTCAGCTGGGCTTGGACACAACAAACCAAGCCTCAGGATTTGGAAGCCTTTCACTGGGCTTTCTTTCCTGAGTTGTTGAGTGTGGAGAGAGACTCTTCATGGATCTCTCTCCCTTTCTCAAAGAACTCTTGGGAGAGATGGAGAAGGGAGACTGTTGCCTTTGGCTTCCTTCTTCCTTGGGTGCTAGCTCTGCAGGCTGGTCCCCGCTTTGGAACTCACAGGATATGCAGCCCCAATAACACTTTCAACTCTGCCCTGGTTGTCAGGGCTCATTGGGTCCCTTGGAAGTGCTCAGGGTTCAGTAGGCCTTATGGAAACCCAAAAGGAGAATGAGATTTGAGCTCCAGGGTCCTGGGCCCAGGTCGGATGGCTTCAGGTAAGGACAAGGACATCTGCCGAGGACTGGGAGAATGTTGGGTATTTCCCATCCCCAGAAGCAGAAGCGAGACTGCACTGCTTCCTCTTTCTGAGCCCGCTGACGCGCTCTGTGTTCCCTTTGCTTACCCCTTGTTTTCCCTACTTCCGCAGGCCCGTGGTACAGCAGTTTTCTTCACCCTGGGCATTGGCTCCACCCTAAGGCTGTGAAGGGGCAGGTCATAACTTTCTCTGAAAAGACTATAGACCAGGCTGGGCACTGACTGGGCACTCAGATCTTGTCTGTGCCAGGGCCTCCCTAGGGCTCCTCAGCCTGCTGTGTTGACAGCTACAAGCTGCAGTTTCCTCTTCAATGTGCTCAGCCTAGCATATTCTCCTCTCCTGCACCCCAACCCTTCTATCCCCACCCAGACTCTGTGAACTTCAACTCTCCTCTTTCTTGAGACTCACCCTGGGACTCAAGACCAGACACCATCCATTTTGATCCCCGTGTAAGTGGCAGGTTTCCTCTACATGTCCTGGTCCACAATCTGGATGAGCCCTTTGTGGCCAGAGGTCTCTAGCAACCCTTCAAATGAAGCACAGCAAATAAGCTTACTAAATGGATGTGGGTCGAGAGGAAACAGTGCAGTTTTGGGATGCCCAGCAGCCAGAGGAGGCTCAGATTGCTCACACAGTGTATTTTCATGCATGCTTTTGCATGCTGAGCCTTGTGGCCACCCTCCAGGTACCCAGTCTCACTTCAGCCACACTGGTAGGGAAACAGAATCTGGGGAAATAGACACTGCAGAGGCATGAGATGAATTTATTTTCCATAAATCATTGGTGGCTGCCTTGGAGCATCAGGCAAAAGGGCAGCTGCCCTCTGATCCCCAGCTTCCAAGAAACTGGCTCCTCCCTTCAGTGAGATTCTAACCTCTGACAGTGATGGGTGGGGCCTTCAGAGCTCAGGCCTCTCCCCCACCCCCCATCTCAGCCCTGAGCTTTTTACTCATCCACTTCCTGCCTTTCTTTTGCTGTTTATTCTCTCTTTTATTTCCAAGTCACCACATTCTGCCACTCTTCCTCCTCTCTCTATTTTTCACATCTCCAAGGAGCCTTCTTCAAAACTCATGCACCTTCTTCTCTTCTGATTTTACTTAAAAACACTCTCTGGCTCTCATATCAACATTCATTTATTCATTCAGTCAATTTTTTCCCTATTCCTCCAGGTACTCCTTTAGGCCCCATTCGGAATCCAGTCTTTCTGGAGACTAACCTGATCTCTCTTGTTTAACATGCATTTCCTGTAGGTAGGCTTCATGTCTCTTCTAAGTCCCCTCTTGTGCCTTGTGTGTTTCTGACCAGGAACTTCTCAGGAAACTAAGTGAAAGGAGTCCCCAATCTCTTGAGGGCATCTTGCATATTGCTCCAAGCCTGGTCCATGCATGGTGCTCTTAAAACAAACACTTGCTATCTCTTCTCTTTCCCTATCCTCAGCTACATCTGACCTGTGCTTGTGATGAGATGCTTTTCTAGAGAAGGGCACACACAGATGGAGAGCTTTTGCTACCAATGAACAGCTTAACCCATTTTCAAAGCCATAGCATCTCCTCTGAGTTTGAATGGTCTTGTCCCATTTGAGTTTGAATAATCTTGTGCCAGTAGATGGGGCCAGGTGACAGAACCTAGGAGACCATGTCTGTGGTGCCCCTTCCTATGCTCCAGGGGTTTAAGAAGGCCAAAACAGGAGCAGATGGAAGTTGCATTATTTAATTTTTAAAAACTGCTTACTGAGCAAAACTCAGCTACAAGTGGTGATGTTTGAGCAAAAGCCAATGCAAAACAGGAAGCCAGTGGCCTGGTGAATTCTCACACTTGGGGACCAGAAGTGAAAATATTTGGTCTGCCCAGAGGAGCAGTAAACCAACAAAAATATAAGCAGGGCAGTGTTGGAGGCCAAGGCCACAGGGACCCTGCCTTTTCCATGCCCACACATCCCTATTCTTCCATCTCTCGCAGTGCCATGGGCTTGGCTCCCTTCTCCAACGCTTCAATAGGATTTCTCATTCATAAGCAGAGGGCTGCTCAAAAAAAGGTGTGTGGAAAATGGAGGAAGTCCATCATCTTCTATTCTAAGCCTGGTCCGTCTTATAGATAGTGGGCTGAGGTGCTCTGGGTCCCAGGGACCTTGTTTGTGTAAGGTTGACATTGGCCTTGAGAACTTTGAGGCTTCCAGCTGTGAGGTTATTTCCCCAGTGGCTAACATCAGCTCCACCATGTTGGGGTGAGGGTGGTGGAGAGCTGAGTGGATGTGTGGGTGTGTGTGTGTACATGCATGCAGAATTGAGCCAGTCGGGAGGTGGATCATGTCTACTTACCTGTCATAGTCTCAGGAGGTTTAGCATGGTGGGTACCCAATGAAAGTTTGCCCAAAGGGTGGGCAAATACATGTGGAGTGTTTTCAGGCTTCCTCACCTTGTCTCCTGGTTGTATTCTACTGCCTCATGTCTCCCATTTGGTCTGCAGCCCTAAGTCCTTCAACACATAGGAGCTGTAGGGTAAAGAAAGCAGGGAAGGGGATCATCACAGAACCATGTGACTAAGTGAAGAGGGTGATGAGCCTGAAATCAAGCTTCCAATCAGAGTTACCTGAGGCTCTCTCTCTCTTCTAGGTTCGGGCTGATGTCTCCGAAGCACCTGCTTTGGCCACTCTTCCATGACCATTATAATAATGTCTCAATGCTTCCTGAACTGCTTTCACCTGCATTCAAATTCTTCTTTGACATGAATGGAAAAGTTCTACTCATTCATGCATTCATTTATTCACCAAAAGTTTATCGAGTGCTTATTACGATGTACTGGCATTGGTTGGGTGTTAGGGTACAGAGATAAATCAAGAGGAGCTCCTGCTTTCAATGAGCTGCAGTGAATTCTGGATAAAGGACCTTTAATGAAACTTCACAGAGAACGAATGGAAATAGTCAAACTTCAAGACTTTGACGGAGAAGAAAGACCGAGGTACAGATAGACTCATTTGCAAAGAACAAATGATACCTAGAACCCAGAGAGGCAGTCTCTCCATTCCCTGGGGATGCCTCGCCAGCCCAATAGCACGGCTGTGGTAGTTGGTTAGCCCGAGTGAACAGATACCACGAGCTTGCTCTGCCTCCACACCCTCCATTCATGCCAGGCTGCACAGTACCGGCTCTATTACCTTTGCTGACTCTTTGCTGGCTTGGATACTGGGACCACATCTTCTGTTGCCTGTTATGGACTCCATGTCTGAGCCTTCCCACCTCCACTTAGTATAGTCAATATATCATAAACTTCACTTCTTCCAGTGAGTCCAGCAGGTGTGTGCCTAGGACCTGTGAAGTATTTCACACCATTGCAGGTGCACAGGGCACCGAGAGTGATACTTCACACTAGCCATTCTGTTTTCACTGGATGCCGACATAGTAGCAAGTTTCATGTTGGAAGCGCACTCAGGGTCTAAGTGGCTCAGAGGGGCTCTGCAGAGGCCACTTGGGTAGCATTGAAACAGCAACATGGAAGAAGAGCATTTGGGGATGAGGAACTGGCATGCTCAAAGGGCCGGGGCCCTGCACAGCATAGTTTGTTGGGGAAAGGCAGGTGGATATGAGGGCCAGAGGGGAGGAGCAGTGAGGATGTGAAAGAGAAGAAATGAGAAGGAACAGAAGGCAGGTCTTGAAGAACCTTCTGGTTTAAGTAGAAGCTTTGGGTGTTACCTTACAAGTTGTCCAGTGGAACTCAAAGCTCAAATTTGCATTTTCAACTCCTCATCTTAGTCAACAGTGGGGAAGTTTATTTAGTGATAAGGCATGCTGGAGGAAAAAAAAAAAAAAAAAAAAACACCTGACCAGGGGGCTGTGGCAAGTAGTCCCAGAGAGGCACGAAAGAAGCAGTATGGATAACTATAAGGCCACCGGGCTGAGGGGCCATCTAATGGTCACCTTTTTCATTAGGCCAGATCTGCATGATTCCCATGGCTGTGTGAGTGGGGTTACCATTAACCGTCTTGGGAACCTGTAGAGACAATCTAAATTAAGAAGGAAGAAATGAAGCCTCCAGTTTGGCGACACGCAGGGTCAAGCCACGTTGCCTCTGTAAAGGCATTGGAGGAATAAATGCGCCTTGGCAGTCGTGGAGGCAGGAGCTGGTGGAGCCCTCCAGGGGGGCATTTTCAGGGCAGTTGGGACAGTGGCTAAGGATGGGAGCTGTTGTGCTGAGGAGTGCTGAGTTGTGGCAGAGAGGCCGCAGGGCTGCAAGGCTGCATGGCCCCGAGACATGCAGATTATGCAGAGAGTAGCTGCAGGCCACAGGTGGTGCTGCTCTTCTGAAGAGCTGATGATGAAGGAGGAAGAGGGTGGCACTACATCTATCCTTTCTTTGCTCGTGCTCACTCCAGTCCCAACTCTGCAGGTGGGACAATTCACTGCAGGGACCGCTTGGCTGTTACCTCCCCACCCTGCTTATGGGCTGTGATTGTCTGAAGACCCTGAGGCTCCAGGCTGGGGTCTGAAGAGCTCATGCTGATCTCAGGCATGGCTCTGGACACTGTAGGCCAATATGATGGCTGTCTGCTCTTCCTAGAGCTAGTGAGTCTGGGGGGCGGTGATATCCTGAGTTTATGGGGTGTAGATGGCTAGGAATCCTCTCCAGGCCTGTCTTCTCATCCCTACACCATGATGACAGATCCACCAGTGACGCAAGGCTCACAGAGAACACAGAGCACTCACCTCAATTTCCTCAGCCCCCCCGAGCCCTAACTCAGTGCTGGGGCCATCCTGAGAACTACCTAGATATCTTTCCTCTGTCTGAGGAAATGCCACCATCAAGACAAAAGTTCAGCAACTCCAGGATTCCCATGCCCCAGCCCCTCCACGCCCTGTTCTCCCTTCCATGCCCAAGCCATGCACTGCTCACCATCAATTTCAAGTGGCAGCCTCTCCAGAGCGTGGTCCCGCCTTGCTCTGTTTGAAGTGTCCTTTGAGTTTGTTCCCTCTTCTCTATCCCCATTGCCCCTGCCCGATCTGTATGTGTAAGCATCTGTATGGACCGAATGTGGGTGTTCCCTACCCCTCAGTGGTGAAGCCCTAACCTCCAATGTGATGGTAGGGCCTGTTGGAGGTTATAAGATGAGGTCACGGGGATGGAGTCGCATGTTTGGATTAGTGTCTTCATAGGAGAGAGACCACAGCTGTTCTCACAGCTCCAAGGTACCTGTAGACAGTGAAGCAGGCCCTCAGTGGCACCTGGGTGAGCCAGAACCTGGATCCTCCCTTCCCAGCCACCGGAATGCTTCTGGTTAAAGCCCTGACCCCTCCCTGGCTGCGTGCTCTCTTATAACTAGATTTATGGTAGCTTCCTATTCTGCTTATCTACTTCCTGTCTCATCTTTAGTGTAGGATGCTGGGTTCCTTCATGACACTTAGCACGGATGGCAGCACTTGTTAGTACTCAGTTGCTTGGCATTTATCTTTATAACCAGATGGTCTGCTCCAGGAAGCCAAGGCTGGGTATCACATCTGGCATGCAGTAGGTGACTACTGAGGAAATGAAATGCTGTGCTGGTGAGATGGGTCCGTGAGTGGACATGTGTTCGGACACTTGCTGCCAAGCCTGATGACTTGTGTTCTATCCCTGGAATCCAAACAGTGGAAGGAGAGAACCAACTCCATCAAGTTGTCCTCTGACCTTCACATACATAACATGCACACACATATACATACACACGTGCGCACGCTACACACTGAAACAATACAACAACAACAAAATGCTGGCTTCAATAAAGGTCTCCTTGTTTCCTGCCCGGTTTCTTTTGTTGAATGACTTAGGCTTTGGCTAGAATCACCTTTTAGAAACATTGATTTCATCCTACCCAGTCCTTCTTCATCAGTGTCTGCAGATCCCCAGAACCCTGTTTGGAGATTTATGGGAAATCCAGTGAAGGTCAGATCGCTGATAGTGAGGAGGTGCCACAGGCCTCCTCATTGATAACAATACACTTAATTTTAAATTGTGGGTTTGTTTCAAAAGAAACCCTCAAACCCATGAGCACTGCAGGAAACACGTGAGTCAGGGTTCTCAGTATCTGGTGTCCTGTGGGTTGGGGCGATAGTATCGGTACCCGGCTGCCTGGGTATGCTGCCCAGGGTTTCTGTTTGTCCTAGGCAGGCAACAGCCCAGGCTCCCCTTTCTCTGCCCTTCACATGAGGGGCTCTGAGAAGTTTCACTCAGAGTGCAGGTGTTGTATGGGCTCTGTGGGTGGTGCCCAGCCTCTGGGGTGTTGAGTGTTCTGTGGGCACAGAGTCGGCTCTGTGTATGTGACCTGATCTTTTAGGGGGCTGCATGTTTTGTCATGGTATCTGTGGGGTGGGGATAAAGGTATTTGGGGGAGGAGGACAAGGCAATCTCTTGACTATAGTTATTTACAAATTTGGGAAAACACGTTTGGCAGAATTTCCTCCTCTGTCGGTATGAGCCCATTTCCCCTCTCTCTGTGCTAAGCGGAAGTTCCGATGGCTCACAGAAACCCTGAACCACACATTCCTCAGTCTGGAAAAGCCCTCAAAGAAGGTAGTTCAGCTGAAGACCAACTGGGGCCTTCTGTTGGGGACTTTAATCTGAATTCCAGAGAAGCCTGCATGAAGCATTCTATCAGCTGCTGCCTGGAAGAGTCCCCTAGGCTTCCCCAAAGCCCTGCTGCTCTGAAGAACGAACTGGCTTTCAGTCCTACTGACAGTTCTAGGCCAGCGGGCACTCACGGCCCATCTCCGCCTCCATTCTGTCTTGCACATCTGCTCCTCACATTCTCTCTCTTCCAGACAAACTGAGCTCCCTTCTTTCTACAATGATAATCTCTCTTCTCTTTTATCCACCCAGTGCTCAGGCTCCATCCCATCTGTCTCAGTGGCTTTTCCACAGGGAAGACGCCATCCAGGCTCCATTTCCGGGAAAGAATGGTCACTGCACTTCTTTTCTCTAGTCCAGCCAGGAGGTGCCCAGAGTGGGTACATGCCCGTGTTGAATGCCCGTGTGTGGTGCTATTCAACTTCCCTGCAGAGGGGAGGACCAGTGCCTTTCCTGAACACCCTTCCTTCTCAGACTGAATGGGAAGGCATGTGGGAGATGGGGCAGATGTGTGTGTGGAAGGACAGGTGTCTTGGCCACCTCCTTAGACACAGACACCGGGGACTCAGGTGCAGGCCCTAGGCTTGCTGCACTCATGTGGCTAAGGTCAGGGAGTTGTGCCAACCCACACACTGATTGTTGTGGGAAATGCCTCTAGAACAGAACTCGGGAGGCTTCCGGCCTGTGGGAGGAGCCCAGATATGTCTTCAAAGTGAGGTGAGCAGGCACAGGGTCCACACATCTGGTTCACTTATTTCCTGGGAGGGCCTTGTGAGTCCCACACTGTCAGAACTCACAGCCCAAATCCTGGGATGCTAGTCTTCTGAGAGAACATCCCAGGAACCTCTCTTTCATTTTTCACCCGTTTCTAAGAAAAACAGCCTATTTCCGTGCCTAGCTCTAACAGCCTTGACAGCTGTTTACACATGCAGTGCCAGATGCAGGGCACCATACTGAATTCTTGTCATCCATGATCTCATTTCAACCTCATGACATCACCATGACAACTCTCATTCCCACGTCTTCTGATTTGGGAAATCAGAAACTGTGAGCGAATATGTGCCTTTCCCTAAGTCACAATTCATGTTGAAGCTGAGTTTGTCTGACTGGGGCCCGAGCCCCCCAGCCTGTTTCCTTCATCATCAATTACCCACAGTTATCATGAGAAATCTGATTTGCTTTCACAAGACACCTGACTTTTTAATGGGATGAAAACACACACCACTCATTCATTCTCCGTTTGAGGACCATCCATGTCCATTTTCTTGATGGTACTCAACACTCCCCGGGATGGGGCATGTCAGGCCCCATGTTTCAACTTTTAAGTTTTACAGACAGACAGGGAAGCTGAGGCACAAAGAGGAGACATGACTTGCCCAAGGTCACACAGCTAGACACAGTGCAGTCAAAACTAGGCCTCGTGAGAGACCCAGAGCTCTGCACCTGTGATACACTGCCTCTTCAATAAATAAGTGAGCAAAATAAATAAATAAAGGGTCCAAGGGATCCCAAGGAGCCCTCCCAACTTCAGAAGGATCTCTCTGGCATCATGGCCTTCTCGGCAGGCCGGCAAAGCTCATGGATGGCTTCACCAGGTCACACAGTCTATATTTGGAAAACTTCAGAGAGACTCTAGGCTCAGGGATCATCAGCCCTGTCATTTCTCCCAGCGTCCTTGCTTGGAGGCTGCAAACCGTCTTTGTGTGAAGACATGTCTCAACTGCAGTATAGGGAAACAGGGACCAGCCCTGGGCCCCAGTGACTAGCAGCTATTTTGGCACAAGGCCCCAGGCTCCCACAAGATCTCTGAGGCAGAAGCTGCCCGTGGGCAGATGGTTTCTGTAATCTACTTCCTTCCAGCCCAGAGGCTGACAGAACCTAAAATATCACCCCAGGGCCAACTTGGCTAACATTCAGCATGAGGAACTCCTTAACGATCCGGTCATTATTTTAGTCCCCTGACAAAGCTGTTGGTCTAGGGTCACACAGATAAACACAGAGGTGCCATCCTAGCACCCTATTCTCTGGGTCTGTAGTTAGAAATTAGCAGCAAATGCAGACATAAGTTCTAAGCCTGGGCCAAGGCCCTGGCCCAAAGGCCACCTAAAAGGTAGTGTGCTAACACAGACATCCATAGTTTGTCTGGTTGGACAGCACGATAGTGAGCAGCAAGGAGCAATGGCTTGGCCACTGAGGTAACCCTGGGTGGACACCGCTGGGTCAAAAAGGGAAAGATGTCTGCAGACAGGTAGCAGAGATACCCCATAAGAGGTCTCAGTCCCATTTGCCCCGTGGTTCTGAATTGGCTGGCTGATCATCCAGGGTGGTATGTACCCCAAGATCTCCCAGCGGCAAGTACTCCATCAAGCTGGGGAGCATCTCCACATGCCAAATTAAACCTGGCTCCTGCTCCATCCTTTCTCTCTTGAGCCCTCCCTGTAGCCTGCAGCAGGCTAGCCACTCTGATTCCTCTGTAGACATCCAGCCCAGCATCCCGGAGTTCCGCCCAAATGCAGGCACTTCCCATGCAGGACCCAATCCTGAGGAGCGAGGAGGCCTCTGTCTACCCTGCTCTGCTCTGCTGGTGTCTACACAGCCCCACTCAGCAGAACTGGCTGCAACCTCCCATGTACTGGACACCTGCCCAGCAAGTTGGCCTTTTCCCAGGGGCCTGGCTAGCCAGCCACAGTGGGTCTGCAGAAAAGGACCCATGCATTTCTTAGACTCCTGGGCCTTCCAGGTACAGGCAGGGGAGCAGGCATGGCTGGAATACAAAGAACCCTCAGCCCCTGTCATTCTTCTACCTGCAGGCTGGAGATCAATGGCAGTGTGGCCAGGGTAGGGTCAAGGCTACCCAGGAGGCCACCAGTGGCTGCCCCACAGTCCAGAGAGGCAAGTTTATGGCCAAAACTCCAACTCTCTATGCTTAGGTCTTCACAGCTAACAGTATCCAGGAGCGACCACTCTTCAGCTAGCTGGTTCCACTGTCTACTTGTGGTCACTGATGGAGCAGCAGTCATCCCCTGAGACTCTTGTTTCACATAACCCTTGACCAGAGCTAAATCATCCTGCAGGCACACTGCAAGTTTAGGGTCAAAGGCATCTGTCAAGGGACTCTCTTTGTTCAAGTGTTCTTCTGGGTTGGCTGTCTCTTCCATCCATCTGGTCTGTTTCTGATAGCCCTGGAATGTTACCAGGACTTGGTCTTTCTCCTCAAGGACTCTAGGCTCTGGGAGACAGACATGGTCCAAGGCAGAGCCATCCTGTGCATACGTAGGCTGCCCTGGAGAGTTCTGGACTAGGTTAATGTCACTGTCATCCTGGCCCTGATGGGTATATCCAAATTGCTGCTTCCAGGTGGGCCCCATGCTGGAGTGTAAGCTGGGTTCCTGCAAGCAGATCCCACTATCTGTGTTGTCCCCACAGGTGTTCTGAAGCTCTGGAGGCTCTTCTTTTCCCAGAGTTCCCTGCACCTGGGGGTGGGAGCCGGGGAGGAAGAACTGGGAATCTTCAGTCTGAAGTGATGGCTTGCCACTGCCAAAGCCACTGTCGGTGCTGCCATGCAGCTCCGAGTCTTTCAGCTCCAGTGACACCTTCGGGAAGGCCTCCAGGTCCAGGATGTGAATGGCATCGAGAGTTTCCGGGAAGAGAGGGTCGGCCAGGAAGAAGTTGTGCGGCTCCTCAAAGACCTGGGAGGAGAGGCAGGGAGAATGTGAGGGTCGGTCGTCACGGTCAGTTTGACTGTGTTGAGAACCGGCATGTGGTTCCATAAAGTGTGCCCTCTCTTCTGAGGAAGGTTAAACTGAGCTGGCGAGACTTAAACCATCCCACGGACTGGAGTCCTGGGATGAATAAAGACGAGAATGTGAGCTGGGCACCAGCATTCACCTCTCTTTGCTTCCTGACTGTGGGTGAAATGCGACCTGCAGCCTTCCCTCCCCTCCCCCTCCCATGGTGGACTGCCCCCTGAAGCCATTAGCCAAAATAAACTCTTCTGCAAGTTGCCTTTGTTAGGAATTTTGTCACAGTAATGAGAAAAACAACTGATCCAGCGAGAGAGGTGTGGCCACCTGTCAGGACCCTCCCAGGTGCCAGGTAAGGAACTGTGGGGGAGGTACAGAGTGGGTGAAGAGCCTGGGTGGCCTGTACTGAGCTCCTCTGATTTGCACTGCCATTAGAATTTTAGAATTTCCTCCCAAGGGCACATCATAGTTTGGCCCAGGCAGATACATAGGAAGATAGTGTCTCCAGGGCCAGGTTTCACAGGGTCTTGCTGAGAGTAGAGAAAGCTCTCAGATGTTCCACTTGCGAAGCTCTGCAAACTGGAAGAGACCCTGAAAAGCCAGGCCCATGCAGAAGTGTGTTTAAACTATTTTGACAATGACTTCGAGTAAGAAATAGATACTAAGTGAGCACCTAGGTGTGTAGTTCATGGGAGTCATTGAATAGAGTCACAAAGGAATAAGTGTCTCTGTACCACAGTGCACTCTCATTTTATCCCATCCCATCCCATCCCATCCCATCCCATCCCATCCCATCCCATCCCATCCCATCCCATCCCATCCCATCCCATCCCATCCCATCCCATCCCATCCCATCCCATTCCATCCCATCCCATCCCATCCTATCCCATCCCATCTTTCTATCCTGACATCCTTTGCATTTTGTAGCTTGCAGCCAAGGGCTTGCTCTCCTTAGTTGCCAAGGGTCTTGGAGAAGCCACTTAACCATTTTCAGTTCATTCCTCTGCTTTAGCCACAGTGGTGTCCTGAACACAGAACAGCATCCCTGTCACAGGACTTTTGCACATGCTGACCCCTCTCCTTGGATCACTCTTAGCACTCCAGATGGCTGTACCCTTCTCCTTGTTCAGTTCAGACACCACCTCCTTAGAGAGATATTGCAAGCAACCAGTGCTGCAGCCATTTTCTCCATGTTTCCTTCCTTCCTTCTTTCCAAATTTAGTTCTTGTATGTGCTGGCTGGTCTTATGTCAACTTGATACACAAACTACAGTTATCTGAAAGCAGGGAACCTTAACTGAGGAAATTCCTCCATGAAAGTGGACTGTAGGCAAGCCTGTGTGGCATTTTCATAGTTAGCAATAGAAGAGGGAGGATCCAGCCCATTGTGGGTGGGGCCATCCCTGGGCTGGTGGTCCTGGGTTCTGCAAGAGAGCAGGCTGAGCAAGCTTTGGAGAGCAAGTCAGTAAGCAGCACCCCTCCATGGCCTCTGCATCAGCTCCTGCTTTCAGGTTCTTGCCCTGCTTGAGTTCCTATCCTCACTTCTTTTGATGATGAAATAAAGTGTAAGCAAATACACCCTTTCCTTCCCCACTGGCTTTTTGGCCATGGGGTTTCATCACAGCAACATAAACCTAACTAAGACACTATAATTTGAGTTCTAAAGGCAGTAATTGTCTGGTCTTATTCATCACTGTAAGACCATAAGCCGAGCTGGAACTAGTAGGGATTCAGGTTTGTTGACTGGCGGACTGACCGACAGACTGACTGACTCTGGTGCACCCTGCACCCTGCCTTCATTTCCTTGACACTTAATGACTCTGATGTAATTCCTCCTGAGTTGTGACCCTACCACAGTGGTTATGGAAGAAGGATGTGTCATTTAGCAGCTTGTGCCTTCTCATGGTGAGGCATGTACATGCTTGGATCATTCAGGTTACATAGAAGATACTCAATAAATACATGCTGAGTTGAATTGTACTCCTTGACAATTCTACAGGAATATCATCACTCCTATGCCCTAGAGGAGAAACCCAAAGTTCAGAGAGGTTAAATGGCATGCTCCAAGTCACCAGCAATAAAGGAAAAACCTGGAATTATACACAGCTATCTGGATTTGAGGTCCCCAGCTTGCTTAATAAAACTTCAATAATCTGTTGGATGGTCAGCTCAAATCAGCAGATGGCTGAGAGTCTGTCATGGAACGTGCCAGGGTTCTCTCGCACTAGCCACCCCCACAGACAGTAGCAATTGATACATGGAACTGGGTTGTTCAAATCCAAGGAGAAAAGCTCTAAAGGAAGAGCAATGCTGTGACTCAGCGGCTCAGAGGAATCAACAAGCTGCTGCCTGTCATTTCTCAGCATTTGGTAATCTCTGATTTCTGTGTGTTTCATGTCTTTCCATTAAAGTTAGCCTTTTATGCTTGGCTGGCACTGGCTGGCATCACGCCCCCAGGATCTCTCGAGGCCACATTAGTCAGTTTCCTCCCCAGCAGCACTTGCAAACATGGAGAATGTGCTATAGCTAGCTCAAATATCACTTCACTCATTCGCTCAGAGAGACTCAGGGCTACCCTCCTTCTCTTCCTGGATCCCAGTCTCCACACGGCCAGGCTCAATAGTGTAGCTCATTCATCCCCAAGCCACCAGCACTTGAGCTCCAGACCCTGCACAGAGCGTGAGCTAAAGTGCCCATGAAACAGACCAAGGGGCGTGTGTGTGGGGAAGTGAATCTCCCAGTAGCGCAAAGAAAGATGAGGACCAACGTCAGCTAGATACAAGGAAGAACTATTAAATTCTTGAGATCCTTAAGGGTTGGCTGACCCATGTCTTCTTTATAATTCTTATCAGTTGTTCACTGACCTGAGAATAGACTTTTACCTAGGCAAAGTCCCCAACACATATCTATATATCTATATATTCTATATATATATATAGATCTATATATCTATATATTCTATAGATACCTATCATACATATATATATATGATATATATATATATATCCTATAGCTACATATCATACATTAATATTGCATATTACCCAGGGTCTAGGCCTGTGGCTATCTACCTCTAACACAGCCTGAGTCCAGGTCAGGGGCAAGCAGAGGTTTGAGTAATAGTACCTGTGTTCTTGTAGGATAGCTTTTGGAAGCGGGCTTGCCACACATGCCTCCATCTGAGAGGGGACAGAGGTCCTGGCCTCCCTTCAAGCCCTTTCCTCTCTAGGTCAGCTCTCTGCTCCGTTCCCTCCCCTCTGTGACCACTCTAGCCCTCCTTCCTGTCTTTCAGAGACTCATCCCTCAGCACCACCAGAATGGGATGATGCAAAACGTCCCCTACAGCCCTTCCATGCAGTGTGAGGCCGTGAATGGAGCGACCTTTCTGACCTTGCTTGTAAGATGAGGATAATGACCAGGACCAATTCATGATGCCTAGCAGCTGGTCCACAGGCCACTGTGAAGATGACATAGCTGCGACTCAGTGTGTGTGCGCGGGGTGTGCACGCTGTCTCTGGGCTACTCGGAGGCACTGTTCTCCAGACTAGGTTTAGTGTTTGCTTGTGACGCTGCCCCCAATGCTGGATGAGGGGTGCCTCGACCATGCAGAGACCAGGGAAGGACAGAGCACTCACCAGGACTGCAGGCAACTTCCCCGGGCGCCGGATGTAACACAGGAGAGCCAAGAAGACCAGGGCTCCGCACAGTAGCAAGACAAAAGTGAAGAAAATGCTGAGGTTGGTCGCGGTGAAATCTGCAGATCCAGAAAGATGTGTTTGTGGCACATAAGGTACAGTCCCCAGAGATCCTTTGACTATGCCCAGGATGGTCTCAGTGAATGGCCCCAGATCATTCCCACAGGGAACTGGCAAGTCACGGCCCTAGAGGGATCTAGGTTCCCAGGAACATTGGCCTTCACTGGTTCACTCAGTAACACACTGGCTCAGCCTCTAGCCGACCACACATAATGGCCGATAAACACTGAGACAGGAGAATATAGTAGGTAAGAGTGGAGACTGAGGTCCCAGCTTTACCTCTTGCTAACTGTGGGACTATGGACAAAATAATGAATCCCCTTGAGTCCCACTGTCCATGTATACAACAGTCCCCAGACATCTCGCCTATATCCTCTGACCCTAGCAACAGTCTTAGGAGGTCAATGCCAGCATCACCTCATTTTACACATGGAGATCCTGGGGCCTAGAGAGATGAAGTCACTTGCCCAAGGTCACGTGTCTGTAAGCAGTAAAGCTGAGATTCAAGCAAACCTTGTGTGTATAAGGATGATGAAAATGCAAGCAGCACTTAGAGCGACTGACATACATTTATTCTGTTGTGGGACTTTTATGACAATGAGCTGCACTGAAGTTTATTATAAATCTGGGAAGACCCCTTTCATGTTTGTTGGACAGGGCACGCCCAGGGCACACACTGGATACAATGTGTGTATTAGCTGCCACATGTTGCTAGTTATGGCTCCCTCTGGCAGTCAGTAGATTGAAAGTCGCTACACCTGATTCCCCATCCTGGCAAAGGGCTCCTGGGCCCCTGGCTGAGGATCTGGAACAGGACTTTGCTGACTCCAGCAGCTCTGTCAAAAAACCCAGCTCAGCATTGCTTCTTCTGGGATACTCAGGGCAGGGAAGAGCCCTTCCCACACTGGCCCTGAGGAGGAACAGCCTGAACAGGACCAAATAGGAACTAGTGCATCTGCCAGGGGAGATCTGGAGAGGTCCCCCGATAAGCCCAGCTGTGCTCAGGTGGAAGGTCCCCTGTGTAACCTCCTGGCAGGAATGAAGCCATTCTGAGCAGACACTTGAACATCCTCCCCTTTGGCTATCTGACTATAGGGACAATGGGCTGTACCTAGGCTGTGCTCATGCTGGGAGTAGTAGAAAGCTGAAGCCCGGTGCCAGCCGGGGTGGAACTTGTCTCCTGCAGATTTCACACAGTTCTGACGACAGAGCAACAGGAGAGACCGAGGCTGAGATACTGATGGTGGGTGGGCCCGAATACCCTGACCTGGCCGGCTTAGTTCTGTGTGCCTGGAGCACCATTTAAACCCAAACATCACAGTAATGTCAATGCCCTTAATACCCTGGAAAATGGGCTTTCAGGCTTCTCTTCCCAATGTGACACTGAACATATTTTCTATTTCTGTTTTTCCCCCTCTTGTGTCTTTGATTGAGGATGGGTAGCTGATCTTGTTAAGGTACTATCAGGGGCCAGGCTCTGACTAACAGCTCTGAGCAGTTATGGCTGAGAGAGAGGGCATGTTTTGGATGCCTTCCACTCCCAGCAAGTTATCATGGACAGAGAGAAAAGACTGAGTAACCCCTTATAGTTGCTAATTATGCTATTCTGGGGATTTTTTTTTTTAAAAAATATCCCACTCCAGTCATGAGCATCTTGCTTTTTACCTCTATTTGGTGATGAAGAGAATGGGAATTTGGACCTTGGTTTGGATTCTTAAGAATTGACCTTTGGTTAATTTCTCCTGTGTTGTTGAACTTTGGGTTTTGATTTCATATTGATTAAAGGGTCCTTTCAGCTGTTTGTGTTGTGTTGTGTGTAGCATGGTGTGTTGTGGTGTTCCTGTTTGTGTTGTATGTGAGTGTGTGTATGTGTGTGTGTATGTATGGGTTGCAATATGCAGGCCAAAGGAGACAGGCACGTGCTCCATTGTCTTTCTTTTGTGAGTTGTGGGAGGAGGGGCAGGGCCTTGTGTAACATTGGCTGGCCTGGAATTCACTCTGTAGACCAGGTTGTCCTGGAACACAGAGAAATCCACCGCCTACTCTGCCCCCTGAGTGCTAGGATTAAAGGCATACACCAGCATGCCTGGTTCTCCACCTTCCTTTTTAAGACAGGGTCTCTCACTGAACCAGGAGATTACTGATTTGGCTAGGCTGGCCAGTCAGCCTGTTTCTGGCCCCTCACTGGGAAGGAGGATTGGGGTTATAGAAACACACACCATGCCGGCTTTTGGGGATCTAACTCAGTTCCTCAAGCACTGTATGTACTGAGCCAACTTCCTACTTCCTTGGAGCTTTTGGATTTTTGCATCATTGTTGGTGGTCATCGTGCAGTGACTGGCTCTGTGTTTTAGAGTTCTTCTGAATTGTTTCAGTTCTGCTGAACTATTTTGGGGCTTCATGCCATTTGTACGATAAGCCTTAAACTATTTGGGTTTCTATAGTCAGAGAGCCAAAGGGAAGGATGTTCAAGTTGTCCGAACTTGAGCTCTGTTGAGCCACTGAAATTCTGTTTTGAATGTGTATGTACACATGAGACAGAGAAACAAGCATGCTGGGACATCACTGTGATCGGCATAGCCATAAAGTATTAAGATTTTACTATCTATTTGGGCAATGGTGGTGCACATCTTTAATCCCAGCACCTGGGAGGCAGAGGCAGGCAGATCTCAGAGTTCAAGGCCAGCCTAGTCTGCAGAGTGAATTCAAGGACAGCCAGAACTACACAGAGAAACCCTGTCTTGAAAGCAAAACAAAACAAAAAAGAAATAAAGGAAGAAAAATAAAGGAAGAAAAAATATTTTACTTATTGCTTATTACTTATTTTACGTATTGCTTCCTAGGGTAGTGACTTTTTTTTTTTTAAATTTAGGATAGTTCTAAGCACGAGGGACAACTTCTCCCATAGTTTGTGTGAAAGTGGATGGCTCTATGCAGAAGCTCTGGGCCCAGTCAAGCACCAGCAACCTTGAGCATAGCTTTCTGGACTTTTCTGGACAGTTCGCACACCCTCTGCCTGGACCTCAAGCTTGGGCCACTCACACTGCTCCGTGAGACGTAAACACTGCTCCTCTGACCATTCTGCCTTGTTAGCTCGTGATTCCACGTGGGGCTTCACCTTGACACAAAACTCTCTCATCCCTCTGGGGACTTGGAGGGTGAAGTTTTCCTGTGTCACTAACTCAGTTGTATTCTGAAACAGAAACAAGAACAACAGTAAACACGGTAAACAGGGAACGATCATGTCAGCCTTCCATCTTCCACTTCGTTTGAGGCAAGGTCTCTATGTAGCTTGCCACTGTGTACTCCAGCCTAGCTGGCCCGAAGCTTCCTCTGGCTTTATGTGGGCTTTGTACTTAGATCCTCAGGCTTTGTACACAGCAAGCTTGTTACCTGCTCAGCCATCTCCCCAGCCCAGTACCTTTATTTTAATAGAGCAAAGGGAGGAGTCTGTTTTTATAGAAGTGTAAGCTCTTCACGGAGAGAACTAGAGACAACCGAGGCAAGAGCATTTGATGGATTCCAGGTTGCAGGGGTTGGCCTTCAGTACACTTCCTGACCTACGAGCTAGGAGAAAACACTCAAGGGTAGCTGTCGCATGCCTTGTGCACTGTTGATACTTGATAGGCTTGTTCTTATCACTATCCTCTGGGAGTACAGTTTGAGAGCTGTAAATATGCCACTTCCCTCCAGGCTCCCCATAATCTCTTTTTCATGTGTATGCTAAGCTCCCCAGAGGGACATGAAAGTGAGTCCAATCTAGGTAGGCCTGGCCCAGTGACCTTGGGGGACGTCGTACCTTTTGTTCTGAGACCTTTCGGATGGAAAGTATATAAATGCGGTGATTACTGAAGATCTGTTCATACTCGTCCCCTGCAGGCGTTATCGGGGGCCTGGGGGGATGGATTGTCCCAAAGATGCAGCCGTTGGTTACCTCCAATGTCACGGCATCCACTGTCAGAATCACTAGGTGGGAGAGGGTCGAAGGCATGAGGCTGGAGATGAAGGATGGCATCTAGAGCCTGACTCTAGGGTCAAACCTTCCCCACTCTAAAACCTAGACCTTGGGTTTACAACTCTACCCCACAGGAGAACTTCTTAGAGAATGTGTTTAGAGAATGTGTCTTACTGGGTTTTCTAGCACCCAGGGAATCTGAATTTCCCAGCGTGGGTCCTTGCAATACACATTTTAAAGCTAGCCTCTAGTGTACACTTTCTGCAGGCAGCTGAGCCCTAGCTTATGGGCCGATCTTTGGGAACCAGTGGGTCTCCCAGATGTCACCTCTAGCTCTGAATCCTACAGAGCAAAGCCACTTTGTCCCCAGACCCTGTACAAGCCCAGTGTGGACAGAAAGAGGCCACTGTGGCCAGGCTGACCACCCTGAAACTCCCCAGGAACTGTCTTGATTTTTTTTTCCCTTCAGTACATCTTCCAGCTTCAAAGTTAAGATCTGAGAGATTTCCCCTACCAAGGGCCAGGCCTCATCTGAATTGTGCCTCTACTTGCTTCCCTGAGTACTTAGGGTTCAGTGCCTTTCCCTAAACTGTACAAGTTCATAGCTATGACTCCTGTGACTCAGACACTCCACCCATCCCAAGACTTCTCTTATGGAGGACAAAAATATCAGTTCCCTTTAAAGTCTCAGATCTGTTGAGGCAACCAGTCCCCTGGCCAGGAAGCCCGGTGACATTAGAAGCCATGAGACCAGACAGAAAAGCCATAGGCTGGAGTCTCTGACTGAAAGGGTCACAGAAGGCCATGTTCTAGGTCCAGGAGAGGCAAAGCACCTTCATCCATTGTGAAGCGGGTCTCAGTGATGGTCCAGTTGGAGTACAGGCTGTTCTCCACTGCCCGGACTCTGGCCCGGTAGCCGTATCTGTAGCGGTATAGATCCAGGGTGAATTCTGTGACATCGCAGGACAATCCCCTGGCCTCTCTACAGCTGTGGATGTCTTTCCAGACCGTGGTTCCGTACCTGAGGAGATAGCAGAGCAGGCACTGGGGAAGCAGCTTGCACCCAAACCTCTCTCCTTTAAGAAGGAATGAAAGGGCCAGACAATGGCAGAATAGGAGCAGTCCTCAATGCCCTAGCTCATGGCAAGGGTGTGCCTCTTGCTTGGTCCCTATTGACATCACGGGCAGGGATTTAAGTAGCTCATTCCTCCACAAGAATGTATTAGCCCACTCTGGAGCCTCCCGCTTCCTATCTAGTAGTGACATTTGTGACTACTTTTCCAGAGAGTACTAGGAAGTCCTCAGGACCACTGGCAGCTCACCTTAGGAATCCCAGCACACTGCTCAGCTCACGATACTCAAGCAAGTATGTGTCAAGGATATGTGCCAGAGTCCCTTCTGGTCTCACTTCGGCAGTAAAGTAGCCACCGGGTCCCTCCCCTACCTCCCTCAGGCCCCCACCCTTGCTTTGCTTACTTCTTGAGCGCCACTTCGTAGTAAGTGTCCTCAGACTGATTTGTGATAGCTGTCCAGCGGAGGATGTGCTGGAAAAATCTGGCTTCAAACCACACAGAAGAAGGGCTGGGCAGTTCTGTCCCTAGGGGAAAAGAACGCCAACACTGGAGAAAGCACAGTCATCCTCAGGACTAGGAAGAGGGTGGTGACAGCAGCCAGGGTACTTCGTGAGAGAGGGGCTGGGTGCTTTGCATATGTTCCATTTAGTGGCCACAGCAGCTCCGGGCTGTAGACACATGCCAAACTTACTAAAGAAGAAATAAAAGCCCAGAGAGTCAGTTGACTTGCCCAAGGCCAGCGGGGTCAGTGAGGGACGCAGTGGGAATCTCTATCCAGAAAGTGCCTGATCTCAAAGCTAGTGTCCTGTCCTTCTATGTCTGTGTTGTGTGGATGAGCCAGTCCCTGGCTCTGCCCCAGCACCATCCCCAAGACTTACTTCTCATCTCAGCCCTTCCCCAAAGCCATGGCCCCTGGCCTTTCCGGATGCACAGACACCCTGCTTATAGACATTATAGTCTAGTCTAGTCAGTTCCCTCTAAAATCTCAAACAGCCCTGGTGAGGTAACCAGTTCCCTGGCCAGGAAGCCTGGTGACACAGGAAGCCCCGAGGACAGACAGAAACACTGGAGCTCTTGGCTGAAAAGGTCCCAGTTATTAACATCACTCTGCTTTTCCACACAGACATCTTGGGGTCCGGGGCTTAGGGCTTTCTCCATTCAGTAGTTTCTAGAAGAGCTCAGACGCTGGCATCTGTATAATCAGATACCTAGGTGAGCTTGACGTGGAGACAGACTGCATGCCACCTGTCCAGGCTCCTGCCCTCCTCTTCTTTAAGGTAGAAAACTCAGTAGCGAACCATTTGCACCCCAGCATTGTCTCAGCCCCAACACAAAATTATCTAAAAGAACAGAACAAAAGAGCCTGGAACTAGTAGCTTGCCGGTGTGACCCTGGACAGACTAGTGACCCCCCTGAGACCCTCGGACCTTTCTGTAACAATTCAATAAACATTCCTATTTGACTTCCACTGATGGAGCCCTTGCTCCTCTCCAGCCTTCCTGACCCTTTAAGATGTCTCCTCTGGAAGGCAGCTCTGCATTCACTTCCCTTCTTCTCAAAACTGTCAGCTCACACACCAGTCATGTTTCTTTTTGAGTGACTTTGTCGTTCTCAGAAAATACTCTTGTCTCTGCCCCCGGTCCCCCCCCCGCCCCCCTGCTTTCTTTCGTGTACTGTCTTTGAATCTCAAGGCTGTGTTTCATTTGCAAAACTCTGAGTGTGTGAGCGAAAAACTCAGCCCCTGTTTGAAGTGTTTGGCCACAATGTTGCTGTATATCACGTGACCGACTGTGGGTTTTACCTCGAATTTTGGAGTCCTGTAAAAGTGTTTTCGGGTTTCTGGTCTTCATGCCTCTGTGCCACTTGGTCCCTCCAACTCCCTATCTTTTCATTCTCTTATGGAGTACTGGAACCTGGTCTGAGCTGAGGGGTGGGCAGAGTGGGGGAGGGGCAGCTGGCATGGGAATGAATTGAGGGCTAAAGACTGACAGGGTGGTCAGGAAGGGTGGGGAGAAGGGAGGGATGGGTGTGAGATGGCAGCGTTCGGGGAGAGGAGCCTAAGAACGGCACAACCAGACCCATGGAAGAACCAGAGCAACAGAAAAAGTTACGGTTTGTTGGGAGATGGATGGGTGAATACTTCTGTGAATTCTTTTCCTGAGAGTACTAGGAAGTCCTCAGGGCCGCCAGCAGCTCACCTAAGAGATCCCAGCACACTGCTCAACTCAAGCAAGTATGCACCAAAACTATGTGTCAAGAGTACCTTCTGGTCTCATTTCAGTAGTAAACACCTGGTCCCTCCCCTACCTCGCTGGCCACTCCCGAACAGCCGCTGGTAATCTTAGCCTCATCTCTATACAACCGGCAAGCCCAGACCCATCCAGTACGAAGGAGCCGGGGCGAAGATCTCTGACCATCCAAGGCGATTCTCCGCGAAATGTGAACTTTAAAAGCAACAGAGCGAGCTCTGCGGGAGCCTACCGTGTGCGCAGAAGCCCAGGCTCGGGATAGCGAACGTGACGAGGAGGAGGGGGAGCAAACGGGACGGCATCCTGGGCGCACCGCGGCATCGTCCGCCGGAGCCGGCCTCTACGCCGCGGGGAGAGGTGAAGACTGGCAAGGAGTTCCCGGGGCTAGCCGGGCGCCGCCTGGGGCGGGGCCTCGACACGCCCCGCCCTCGGCCCGCCGAGTCTGGGAACCCCAGCTGGCTAGGTCTAGTCTAGGGCGTTTGTCCCAAGGTGAAAGTGCAGCTGAGGTCTTCTGCTCCGCGGGTCGGCTCTCAGCATCACCTGGACAACCTGGTTTTGCGTGTGTGTGTATGTGTGTGTGTGTTTACGGTGCGGGCGACAGCGTACACTATCCTGGAAGCCCTGTTTTGTTGACAGGACACAGAAGGAAGAGCTGGAGTCACTAGGATGGTCTTGCTCTTAAGACGTAATGTTCCGCTCCCCTCAGTGCCTGCTGATCACACTGAAGACATCGCAGCCTGGAGCAGACGCGGGCAGCCTTCAGCCTGCAAGTTGCAGGATGCTCAGCGCGTTAACTCTCAATCCTGCCCCACACAAAATTAGAAACTTACTTTAAACTTAAAGTAAGTTTCTTCCTTCTCCTCGTCTTCCTCTTCCATCTCCTCCTCCTTCTCTTCTTCATCCCCCTTCTTCTCCCTGGCAATTGGATTGCTTCCCCAGGGTAAAGTTTGTAGATGACAAGGTCCTGTCACAATGTTAAAAATTTGGACACCCCTGTACCTGGAGAAGGGGGATCCAAGCTGGGGGTATGGGACATGAGCACTGGGCACACGATCTGGGAGCTAGTGGTACACACCACCCCGGGGCTTGTGGAGATACGAGCTTTGTCTAAACAAGTTGGGGGTGGATAGTGCGACAGTGGCCTGGACAGAGGGTGTGCCAAGTGGACTGGGATCCTGTTCTGTGCTGAGGGCGCTCACTGGGAAAATGCTTGTTAGTGAGGGCCAGGCCGCCCTAGCTTCATGGCTGGTTGGGAATAATACCTGTGAACGACAGCATCCATCACACACACACACACACACACACACACACACACACACACACACACACACCATCAGCGAGCACCACTCAGGGGATGGCCCTGTTACCGCACCCTCATGTCAGCTAAGTTGGAAAGCCTCCGGCTTTTTAATGTGTGAAGAATTTTTTTTTTTTTTAATTACTGTCTTTGCACTATCTGTCTCTCCCCTGGTAAAGAATAGACACTGCTTGGGAGAATCTGGGCATGACTCCAGCACCCAGGCGTTCGTTGACTTCTTAGCCCCCGGCCACCCTTTTTAAAAAGGGAGCGACTGTGATGTTCCTTCCTCAGTTGCCTTTCTTTTCATTTGCGGTTGAGTTAGAAGAGTCTTAAGGCTCTGCTCCATGACTCTTTCAAAGGGCGCCCGAGATTGCTCATTCATATACCAACATTCACAGTCACAAGCCGATGCTGGGAAAAAAAAAAGTGCTGGCCAATCCAGGTCCCTTCCTCTAGAAACCACCTTTCTAGAGACAGAAAGTGAGTAGAGATTTTAAGTTTCTGGTAAGGAAAGTACAGACTAGCAAGGGGACACAGGGTGGAGAGCACGGAAGGCTTCCTGGAGAGGGTGGCCTGTTAGCGGACACGTGAGTGCAGTAGGGGAGTGACGAATGGATAGGGAGGGATTTGTACATTCGAGAGGAGAGGAGAACTCTGTCAAGTGGGTGAGCATTCCTGCTTGAAGAAAAAAAACACCTGTGGCTGACATAGTTTGACTCCTTGCTCAGAGCCAGCTTTGAGTGCAGTCAAGCCCCATGTCCCTGCTTCCTCCATAGCACCCCGGGGAGAAGCTGGACCAGGCGTATAATTATCATACCTTAGAAAAGCAAAAACCAGAAGAACCCGCATGCATGCTGTTCTGGGTTGAGTCGCTTGTTCTTCGGGTCTGACAAATCCACTCTGAGGTTCTGCAGTGAACACCTGCCTTGACAGACAGCAAATGACGGGATTTTCACAGGCTTGAACTTGTAGGGTGTGCCAAGGGCTCCGCAAAACACTTTACATGGCAGAGCAGGCAGAGCAGGCATAGCAGTCACCAGCCCGGGGCTGAACAAACAAATCCCTTTCCTTTTTCTGGAACCACGGGGCAACTGTTTTCCAGTGTGCGGCTGGAAAATACGACCGGGTTTTAACCCTTGGACAGTAAAGGGTAGCTCACCCAGGCCTTAACCCTGCCTCACCCCTGCCTCTGCCTCTGCTTCTGCTGTCCTGTCAGCCCCGGCTGAGGACTTTGGGCAACGGCACCTTGGAATCTTGGAAGAATCCTTGCAAAGCACGGGATCAAGTAGGTTGAGAGAGAATGAGAGTATGGGGTAGGAGCAGGGGAGGGGCAGCCCTGGGCGGAGAGGATGGCACTGTGGTGAGCCCAGGAAACAGATGGGCATAGTTGGGTAGACACCTTCCTCTCAAGGCAGTTCTTTCTTAGGGCATAACTGGAGTTTGACGGAACCACTGTCTCACTTTCACTCTGCTCCAGCTGGGCCCCTGTGACGCTTCCACACAAACTTCACAGGGGTGGGGTCAGGTAGCCCCGCAGGAATCTGTGCTCTGCAAGCACACAGCTTGTCTCCAGATTAGTGTTTGGGAAGTTCCAAGCCTTGTGGTCACTCTGTCAGAGAGCCCATAACAGAGAAACCCAGGAGCATGGACCCCAAGATGAAGACAGAAAGGAGGAAGCTGCCTGGGGAAACTTGGCAGTTCTTGGGGTGAGAAGGATTTCAATGGCAAGGTACTGGGCCTACCAAGGCTTAGTCAGTGCTCTGGGTGTGCTCAGTCCAGTCCCAGTCCCAGGAGGAACCCTTTAAATGGAGCTGCAGAACCTAAGTCATGTCCACTACCTTTCAGTCTCTGCCCAGCACTGTCCTGGCTAAGTGTGACAAGGCTCAGAAGAGATGTCCTCTGAGGATTGGCTCAGGCTTGAGTACAGCTTCCTGTGCACCCCCACTGGGTTGCTAACAGACAGGAGATAGGCAGAAGCAGATTTGCATTTTACATAGAATCGGAACCCAGAGCCTGGAGGGGAGTGGTGGTTGACTCACTCACTGGGCAGATTTCAAACCACGCTTTTCAGACTCAAGGTCTTCCCTGCCTGTCACGTCCCAGAAGCTCAGCCCCTGGAACTCCAGCAGCTGTGTGGCTTGTCCTGACTGCCTGCTTGGAGAGAAGGGGAGAAATGCTGGTCTTCAGTTAAAGGTGAAAGATTGTCCTCGAAGTGAAGACTCAGGCTAAGAGCCTCTTCACTCCTGCAGAATCATGTAACACCCGCCGGAATCCTGCTCTTGACCGATAATCAAAGTGGAGCCCGAGGGCCTTGGAAACGGGAAGCCTCATTCTAGCTTGTCCACTGCCAGCTCTGTGCCCTCAGCCCAGGCCCTCGGCCTCTGTCAGCCATTGCATGATTGAAACCGTGGTAACCCAGTTGTGCTATTGGAAGGCTGGACACAACAACATGGAGACTGCAGAGGCAGCCTTCCCCAGTGTGGCAGAGGTGGGTTAGTGGAAATATCCAGAATGTGCCACCTGCTGGACAGATCGGGCCAGCTCCTTGTCCCTCAGCCTGGATTTGTTTGGCTTCTCTCTGGCTGTAGCACGTGCTGTGAACGACAGGCCACCTCTCTTCTGTCTCACTTCATCTGAGTGGTTTTTAGAGACACTCTCTTAGTGGGAGGGGGGTATGGGCTTAGCCGCTGTCCTTGCCTTACCCACTCAAATGTAAGAGATGGAGCACAGACCACACACAAAAATAGCTCCAGTCATTTCGACGAAGAGTCATGTCTTCCTGCTACAGCCCAGATGGCCTTGACTTCTCCTGTTTTTGAGGGTGCCATTTCCTCTTTCTTCTAAAATAACAGTGTCTCCAACCCCTGTCTTCCAAATGCAGGAAGTTTTATCTGTTGCTGGGTCTTCAGACCAGAGCCTCCCTAGCGGGCTCACTGCACACATCTCTGTCACATGAGAATGACCTCCAAGCTGCAGCAGCCTGCTTCAGGCACGTACAAAGGCAACGTGCATTTTAAAATGCTGTGAGCAAATATTTTGCAGGTATCAAAAGTATTCAGGATATTGTCAGTTATAATTGCTTCAGGGCATGGCCATTGGGAGAATCACCAGTTCAGCCCCACTCTGTCCTGGGCCGCCTGTGCAGTGGGACAGGCCGGCACTCCCTACCTTTGACTTTTCCAGGCCTCTCCACAAAACAGGAGACCTTTTCTCTTGAGCCCACTCATTTTTATTTATCCCTTTCACAGGCTGACCACCTCCTTCAAGAGGAATTGCCAGCTGCGGTGCAATGGTGTGATCTCACCCCAGCCGACCTCACACAACACACACCAACTTCACTCAAAATATCACTGAGTGGGACTGAAGTTGCGTGCCAAGATGGTGCCACTGAGCCTTTTCCTCAGTTCTTCCTCTGTGGAGAGGAAGAGACTAGGCTAGCCTGCATGGCCGGTATCTCTAGGCTGCTTTGAACAGTACTCATGGTTCCAATCACCTGGCTGGAGTAGGCAAGGAATAGCTATTTTATTATAGACAGACCTGGGTTGGTAAGTACCAGAATCATGTGAGCTAAGCTTAGACATGCAGAGGCTTATAGCTCCAAGCCTTCAGAGCTAGAAGTCTACAGTTCTAGGATCTAGTGACTGGAGGCTCATGGCTCTAAGTGTTCAGGTGGGCCTATTGCTCTGGGAATCGATTGCCTGGTGCCTGGCAGCTAGTGCAGGCCTTGGCTCTCAGCAGTCTTCTGCAGCAGTAGTTAGCACCAACTTGTGTTAGAACTCTGAAGCTTTGAGTTTGCGGGACCTGTGACTCCTAGCAATGGCTAATGTCACAGCCTTGTGTATTAACACCCTTGGCCCTATATTTCCATATCAGGTGTTAAGACCTTTGACCCTTAGGGCTTGGCAGCTCCGTGGAACTCATTCAATGACCGATGGTCCCTTGACTTCAGGTCCGTAGAGCCTTCTCTATACTTCCACTGTATTTTGTTGCTTATACTGCTTCTGCCCCAACCTCCTCCCTCCCCCCT